CTTTACACAAGTAACCAGACGAATCTGTTAACAGGGGCACGCTGCCAGCACTGTAAAGAATACGTCGCTGGTAGCGAAATAATTTAGGGGAATTTTGAGCTTTTGCAAAAAAAAATAATAATGAAAGCACACTTCCTCAAAAGAAAAAAATTAGCATTTATTGTTGTTTTTTTTGCATAATAGCCAGTAAAGCTGTGCAACTGTGATCAGTGGAAAATGACGTACCATAAAGGAGTGGCCAACCAATATCCTCGTATTAGCAATAAAACCTGACAGGGGTTTTAACCCTTCCCACTCTATACAAAACCCTGCACTCTAGGGGTAGGCAACCTTAGCAAAACCCAAGGCAAAACTACAAATCCCATCACATCTGTGGCTGTCAGAGTATTGCAATGCATCATGGGATTTGTAGTTCCACAACAGCTGGAGTGCCGAGGTTGCCCACGTGTACACTAAATTAAGTTATTTATACAGCTCACGGTAAATGGCTCACCACAGGCTCTACTGTAAAATCCTTGAATGTCGATCTGGCTCATTGCAGTTCCAGTGTGAACTCCTGAGGCCGTCTAAATAAACAAGAATATCTGCTGCAGCCCTTAGTGTGGCGATTCATTTTCTACTCTTTAAAAAGGAAGGCAACCTTGGCACTCCAGCTGTGGTGAAACTATAAATCCCATCATGCCTCTGGCTTTGGGAGTCATGCCTGTGACTGTTGGAGTTTTGCAATGCCTTATTAGACTTGTGCCTACCCCTGCTTTAAGATATGCTGTACATGACAGAATCCTGACTTAAGTATTTATTGTCTAAGGGTGCCCATACACTGTGCACATTTCGGATGGTTTTTATGGGACCGCCCAAAATTCGCACAGTGTGTGCCGCTTTCGGCACTCTTTCAGTCGACATCCCTCGATCAGCTGATTGAAAGAGCTGGTCAGAAAATCGTCGCACAATCAGAGCCGGCAGCTCTGTTCGGGTATTCTGATAGCGGCCGCTGTCAGAATACAATGCAAACGGCGGGATTCCTCGATCGACACACTTGAAGAGAACAGTCAGCTGTTGCGGCAAAAGGTACCCAACAAATCAGAAAAATGAAACACTGATTATACACCATTGGGAAGCTAAAAGAATCACAATCTCCACTCTTCATTTGTTTTAACTTGACTTATTTCACTTATATTCTCTTGCTAGTAGACCATAAGTATCAGGTGTAGGGGCCCAGTCACACCATCTCTAGTGCGTTCTGCATGCACTAAAGGGAACGGAGGGCATTCCTGTACCTCACGTTCCGGTGTGAGCGATTTTGAAATCGGAATATAACAGTCAGGTATCAGTCCTGAAATCACACACAAGACAGATCAGCCTTTGAGTTGGTTGTAACGTAGATTAGAAATATTAGATTTAAAATATTAGACGTTTTTGGAAATCAATAACCTCTAAGAACATTTGTTCAAGACTAACCCAAAGACTCCATGAAATGGCACCAGCAATTTGGCTGTAGGTCTCTGATTGCTAAAACTCCAGGTACAATAGAACAGCCGTGTGCTTAGAGAAAGGAGTCTGAGTATTCAGAGATAACTACAGTGATAGTCAAGGAGAGACTCATGGCTGGAGGGTCTCATTGGAAGGAAAGTAGAAGATTAGAACTGATGGGACATCTAGTTCTGGATGTGCGTATTCTGTGATTGGGGACTGCTGGGACTTTAAGTTCCTTACTAGCTGTGAACTGTTGTCCGGACACCAAGACGGCCCTTTGTCCCCTCGCTGTAGACCCTTTGCTGCCTGTGACATGTGTGGACCTAAAGCTGCAGTCAGGTCTCCAGGACTGCTCCTACTGCCTGCTTCGACCCAGGAGCCTCTTTCCGGTGCCACTCTGCCCTCCTCATCCTTTGCCCCTGCTGTGTGCTGCCTGCTACCTGGTGTACTGTGGCCAGGTTACCCTGGACCTTTATTACTCTCAGGACCCAGCGATCTCCCTCTGGAAGGGCTCTGCAATCCCCTCACTCTGGGGATCACCCTGCCTGGATCTCCCTCACCCAAGCCAACCCAACCTGTGGCTAAGATTGCTGCCCAGTGAACCTGTACTCTATCCTTGCCGTACCTTATTGCTGTGTGTTGCTTAATGAAGAACCCCTCAGCCAAGGCTCCTAAATAACCACTCTCGCTCTCTGTGGTATCACAGCCTGACATTTCTGTTTTGACAGGGAGAAAATGCAATTGGATAACAGCACACAAAATTCTCCCAGAGGCAAGACATAACTATTATAAGAACTTCAGATGACCTTAACAATGTTACAGATTGTTTTAAGATAAAAAAAAAAAGGCACTACTCACAGTCAGGAGGTTTTAAAATGTGTTTATTGTGACACCATTTGAAGCCTTTAGCAAAAATCAATTCCCTCTGTGCCACTGAGGTTCTACAAAATTATTTGGACAAAGCAGCAGAATTGTACAGTTACAGTAGTAGAACATGTTGTCCAAACATTAAAGTAGATTGAAACCCTAACTGGATGACATTTAATTTGTCACATGTATCACACAAAAGTGCAATTTTTCACTCTGAATATTTAAACTGATTGAAAACAAGTACTGATATAATGTTAAAGCTTATATGAGATTTTTATCGATTAAGCTTAGATCTATATTAATGAACAGTTGTACCTTTATGTAAAAAAAAGGATCAGACCTCAGATGTAGCGAAGTACACTACCTGATTTTCATTGCTGGCCAATGTATACTTTGTTTTCTTTCCTGCTGTGCAGATGCATATTCAAGTTCCATAAAGATTGATCGGAGAGCAGAATTAGGCTCATGTATATGTGCCTGTGCAGAGGAAACTGAAAATAAACAGTGCCTGGCATCTCCAAAAGCCAGTGGTGCTGGGCAGCGAGGTCTGATTTTTTTGTCTACTACAAAGGGGTTGAAGGAACAAATTTACATAAAAGGTACAGCAACACTTCAAGCAAACTGCTAAGCAAAAGTGTACTGGCCAGCTAAAGTTTATTTGTGAGATCATAAAAGTCAAGTATTCAGTCTTATTTAACATTCATCTGCATAGATGCATCACAGCAAGCCTCCAGGCATCAACAAGAACTATAACTACATCCCTGAAAAAGCTCCCCTAAACATGGCTGTACATAACTTGTTTTGCCAAAAACAGATGAATAGACCCTCATCTCAATTCACTAAACTTTAAAGTGTATTTTCACTTTTTCAGCCAGGTTGGGATAGCACCTATTTTAAATTTGAACATATAAACAGTAAGCCAAAAACATTATACATATACAATATACAACTTTTTGATTGTTATCCAATTCTGAATAGGTATGTATATATATTTTTTGTAGTTGGATGGATTTGTCCTCCTGAGGAAGCCCATTGGGAAAAGCACGTCGAGGACCTTTAAACACAATGAGAGGAATTTATCAAAACCGAAGCAGACAAAAACTGGAGCAGCTGTGCATGGCAACCAATCAGCTTCTCTCTTTCATTTTCAAATCTTAACTGAACAAACTGAAGAGAGCAGCTGATCGGTTGCCATGTACAACTGCTCCAGTTTTTGTCTGCTCCAGTTTTGATAAATTCCCCCCAATGTTTTTGAACGAAAATATACATCCTTAATGTGGCAGCTATATGGAGAATCCTTAAAATTGGCTGTAAAAAACAGCATAAGTAACCACTGGTTTTATCAAATGTGTTTTTTTTTTTTAAATGAATTTGTAAAATTAAAAATTTAAACTGTAACAAATTTGTTGTTCCATTGTTTGGTTTGGTATGTTGGTTTAAAAGCCCCCAATTTTTATGGGATAGGTGCAAACCTTTTCCTATACGTTTTTCTGTACTAATTTGAGAGGGGCGCAGCCGACCAGACCTCCCTCCACTGATCACTATGTTTCCACAACCTGTTTTATATTTGTTACATGTTCTCATTCACAGCGCATAAGCGAGAAAAAAGAAAAAGTTAAAAAACGCTCCTTACAGTTTAAATATCTTTAAAGGCCTTTGACACACGGTCTAATCAGGTGGAGATCCATGCACAGATTCCCTGCTTATCAGGACGGATGTCCCCGTTGTGACATCCGTGTCCGTCCAGTTTTTTCCTCCATCTTGAGCTGGAGGAAAAAAACGGAAATTATCGGACCCTATGTCTATGGGGAATGAGATCAAAACAGATGTGTCCGTTTACAGCAGATTACCCCCAATCCAACACCATCAGGTCCGGTGAAATGAAATTCTGATCTGTTTGTTTTTCCAGGCATGGACAGAGTCGGAGGTAACCAGATGTTAATGGATACTCATCCCTTTAGATCCGGCTGCCTATAGGCTATCATTGGGCTCTCAATTAGGTCAGCCTGAAAAACTGACAGGCAGACTTGATCGGAAAGCCCATGTGAAATGGCTCTTAATTGCTAAAACTTTATTTTTCTTCTCCTACCCTCCAGGAGGAGCTGTGATGATGTAATTATAATTTGCAAAATAGATTTTAACACTACCTGTTCTAACAAAGAGTTAAAAAGGATTACAACCCTGGCTTCTGCATTGTTTGTTTATGAGAGAAACACAATCCACACATGTACTGTCCACAGTCTTTCTCTAAGCACAGTTCACTGTGATGGTGCCCAGAAAAACTTGGAGTCAGCCAGGTAGCCTGCTGCAACAGAATATCTAAAAAGGTAAGAAATATATATTTTTTTAATTATTATTCGGTATGTCGTGTGAATGGGAACACAACACATAGAGGGGTTTTCTCAAATTTGACTGTAAACATGAAAATACACTTTAACAATTAATGCCATACTAGTGGGAGCTAAAAAAAGCAAACATTCCAGGACTCAAAAATGCTATGGTAGAGAACACATGGGTCATAGCCTTTTATCGAAGGTTTGACATGTTGGCATTAGACTACAGCCAATCAGAGCACATACCATAATCCAAATAGACAAAAAGTGGAAGAGCTGCATAGAACTCTATAAAGTCACATTTCCAAATAACCAACTGCAGAATCAAGACCATGTGATTGTAAACTGGTTTTCTATTGATAGTGAGAGCTTCTCCACCGAGAAAACCTAAGAGAAAAGAAATAATCTGTATAAGAATTGAGAGAAACAAGCCAAGTGAGAAAAATAAACAAGCAGTACTATCATTATTACAGGACACTGAATCTTATACAACTTCTCCAGTATCAAATGTGAAAGTAAAATATTGTTCCCTGGAGAGGTCTACCCTTCCATTACACTGCCAGGCATAACATTGAAAAGGTGCACCCTGTGGCCAATCAGGTTCCATCTAAATATGGTGAATGTTGCTCCGACCAATATAACGTGTTAAACATAACCAGCATGGGGTCAGAGACCTCATGGAGGTAAAGCTGGCCATACACCTATAGATTATCTGCAGATTTTCAATGGTCAGATGGGAAAAGTGAAACAGATTCCTCCATCTACGTTAAACTATGTGGATGGAAAAATCTCCCCCTGGGCCAAGCTTCAGTATCTGGCTAGTCGGCCCTGCTGGCTGTCAAAATATCTGAACAATCTGATTGGATGCAGACACTGTCCAAGTACTTTTAGACCCAGCGGGGCCAACTAGCAAGATGCTGAAGCTTGGCCCAGTGGGAGATTCCTCCATCCACACAGTTAGCGTAGATGGGTGTTGATAGCATTTGCATAATTGGAGCTAGCGGGTGTTATTAACCCGCCCAAGAGAGGTGTTAAAACAGCATTGTATGTGGCAGACCCCCCCTCCCCCTCATCTTTATTCAAGCCCGGCTTCTTAATTTTTACATAAATGGCCTCTTTCACACCTCTTTAAAGATTTGACTGGTCTTTAAAGACAGTCAAGTGCGTATCCTAGACAGGGAGTAGGACTGGTTTAAAAGAAGTGGGAAAGGGAGACCTCTTGCCAAGGTTAAAGCAGTGCACTGTATTTTAGGCAACACTGTATTAGAAATATAGCTCTACAGGCGGATGTTACTGAAAGGAGTAAAAAGTAAAATATATTATACTAAATACCAAGTCTGCACCAAATGAAGATAAAGCCCACTTTGGGCTAAGAATAAAAGCAAAATTATAAACATAAATTATACTTATTGTGTCTCTTTAATACATTTAATCTTGTTTACCAGTTGTGGACACGGATTGTTGTGTAAACCCCAAAAAACTTAATCAAAGGACACAGAGCTTACATAGCATGTCCTTCTTCCCCCTTGCATCTCAACCCTCCTCTACATCTGCTGAAATATCTGACTGCCAATCAGAGACTTGCTGTGTAATACAGAAGCTATTACAGCTGTTGCTGTCAAAAAAAATACCTTCAGAACAATGTTTATAAAATGCTGTCTAGAAGCGTAATCCAAAAGATACAAAAGAACATTGTTACTTTATTTACCTTGTTATTCACCATCTACAAATTAAAGGAATGGAACCCATTTAATGTTAAAGAAAATATATAAATTAATTTCCTATTTAACCCTTATTTCATAATTAGTTTCCTCTAAAGAGCCATAATTTCCTTAGGTAATGTTTTTCTGCTCATTTTTTCTTCACTTTTTTTTCAAATTTTATTTGTTTCTAAATTTTATTTAGCATCCTATTAAAAAAAGTGTTAAATAAGTCACACCAGGGTCGGTTTCATCCATTTCCAGAATAAAGGGTCCGGGATCAGATGGCCCTATGAATGGTTATTCTGGGACCTCAGGAGCCTTGGGTGGCTGATTTGCACAAGTTGGTTCAGCGGGAGGTAAAGCTGGATGAATGGTATCGGGCCCTGCATTGGTATGCAGAACAAACTCAGCTGATATTTACAGCTGAATATCCGGAGGACTAGGACTTTGACGAACCTGGACTGTTGTGGGACACCCTGGTGGATATGTTTGAGTTTGAGGATGATGGGGACGCTGCCCTGCAGGACCTTTTTGCATACCGTGAAGACTTGCTTAGTTTGGAGGGGGTTCCAATGCTGAAAGCTGATTTGGAGTAGGTAGTGAAACAAGAATGGCTACTGGGAAAGGTATACAAGGAGTTGCTAGGACGCATCCAGCAGAGTGTCTCAGACCCAGTGGTAACCACATCCCCAGAGAGAGTGTAGATTTAATGGACTTTTTTGTGGCGGTTGTAGAGCTTACTGAGTCCCCAGGTGAGGTGCTGGCAACAGGGCAGAGGGTTGCAAGCTTCTGCCCAGCACCTGGTACAGCCCGGGAGTTAGAGGGAGAGGAGGCAGACGACCTCTCTCCCCAGCAGCAGATGGAGCATCTGGAAAAAGGTGCAGTGGATACTTATCCCCAGCGGCAGGTCAAGGTGTCGGAAGGGAGACAGCTCATCTCACTCTCCAACAGCAGGCCAAGGGGCCAAAAGAAAAGGGAGCCATCCATACTCCCCAGCGGCAGTCTTTGCTCCAGGGAGGGGAGACGGCTGGTCTCACTCCCCAGCGGCAGGCCAAGGGTCGAGGATGGGAGATGGCTGGTCTCACTCCCCAGCAGCAGGCGGAGGTGCCAGAAGAAGTGGGAGCTATACACACTCCCCAGCAGTAGGCCAAGGGGCAGGGAGGAGCGGCAGCACTGTGCACTCCCCAGAAGCAGACCAAGGTGCCGGGAGACGTAGGAGCCCTCAACACCCCCCAGCGGCAGTTTGTTTACACGAAAACAAGATAACCGGACATGTGAGTTTGTCTTGTCCAACTAACACAGGTCCAGACCAGTTGGGGGTCTGGTACCTGGTTAGTCTACTGTTGGGAGGGGAGAAATGTGACGGACTGAACCATCACTAGGGCTGTTGGAGGAGTCTGGGGGCTAGCCTTCTTCCTACAGACTATGGACCTAGGACTATAGAGACCCCCTCGGACCTCTTGGGGTTACAAGGAACTATTATCCCAGGTTTTGTGTGGAGTGGATATACTGCATATTTTCCCTGGCTTTACGTTTAAGTGACTCTGTGCCCATTATAGATACAGGGTGTGAATCCAGCAACACCAAAAAGGGGTTAACTCTGGAGTGAGACTCCCATTCACCTTGTTAGTCAAGTCTATTTGTCCATTTGTGTGATTGGGTTAATAATGGGATTAAGTTGACTTGACACTAGATGTAGATGAGAGAATTAACGAGACATTTAGGAGATAATCCCATCATACGTATCTCCTCTCACCCTACTCTTTGATTAAGGAACCATGGAGGGGATGGTCTGCTTGCATTGTTTGAATGTCTGATTGTATTATGTTTTAGACTCTCTAAACTGTATATATACTGAGCTAGTTTTCAATAAAGTCAGTTCCTGTTTTGACTTCAACATTGGTGTTGTCTGATGTTTGGGGTAAATCTTTATTATTTTGGGAGTTTAGTTTACTGTCCTAATATATTGGTTCCGTCCAATAATTAGGCAGGTTTGGGCTGAGGACGCTGGAATTCTGGGTTCCAGCGGAGAGGAAGCTACATAGTGACGGAGGCACCCAGTCGGGGTACCAGGCGGTCCGTCACAAGTTTTAATCTAGTAGCAACCTGATTAACCAGCACTTTCTTTGGAGGACTCGCAATCCCATATATCTTCACTGAAAGTAGTGTTAGTTACAAAATATCAACAAAAGAAAGCATTGTTCTTCACTGTTCTGCAAAAATAATGAGTATGTAATGAGAATAATGTGAATATGGTGGAGGATTCTGAAAAGGTGTAACTTGACAAAGGATGTACAGTTGCCACCCATGTGTGAATAGGATTGTAAATGAAGGACCACAACTTCTCTGAGCAGAGTATGATGAAAGGAATTAGTTCGTTAGCATGTTAATATACCATGTAGATCTCCCCTTTTAGTATGTGAAAGCTGATATGTGAGGTGTTGCATCCTTGAGATCAATGGACACCTTGATATACTTAAATGTACAACTGGTTTTACACCAAGTGGTATTTTGGGAGTATCCATGAGCTCAGGAAAAAAACACGCAAGATAATATGCATATATACTCTTCTCAGACAAGATGGAGCCAGCCAGGCCTTTAGCCAACCTAGGTATTATTAGATCAAAAGGGACACAGGCTGCCATCGAATCACTATTGTCAAATAGCTCTGATCAGGTTTTGTGGACCAATCAGGGGTTTCTAATGATTGTGAATTGGCTTAGCTGGAATAAAGAGGCAGAGGCCATCAGAGGGAGAGGAAGCCAGTTTGGGAGAGAGGCCATCAAAGGGAGAGGAACCCATTTTGGGAACCACAGTCCAGAACCTGTGTAAATCTTTCAGGATGGGTAATTGAAGTACATTCAATTGACCAGTTATGCCAACCAGTTCATCATATTTGATATGCTGTAGGAGGTGTTGGGTTGGTGTCTTCTAATATTGTTGGTTTGCAATTGCTGTGCTAGTGTTCCTGTGGTAGTACTCTTTAATAAATGATTTGTAGTTTATGTTATTACTGTAATCTTTTCTTGATCAATAGTCAAGCTGTGTATGTTTAAATTCCTAGTACAATATATTCTTTAAACCTACAGTTTATGGTGTGTGTTTCTTAGCTGACCTACCCCTCTTGAACAATAAGAAGTGGGTGTTGATAAATAATAAGGATATTATTCATATTATTATTAGAAGTTGAAATCACACCCATTTTTCTAACAAAAACTGTTCTGGTCCATAAGGGGTATACAGATGCAGAGCTGAACTGGTTAAGTGTGGATAGCAGTTCAGTAACAATGATTTCCAGTGACATATGCGCTTTATGTAAACACAAGTGATTCATTTAGACACAATAAAAATACCTTGGTGTCTTTTCTGTAGGTGAAATCTTCAGTAGCAACCTGATTAACCAGCACTTTCTTTGGAGGACTCGCAATCCCATATATCTTCACTGATTCTAATTTCAAGCCATCTGCATCACTGTTGAGCTGTATCACTTCACTTAGAAGAGTGTTCTGTGATGAGGAACAAACGGGATACTGAGGCTTGGAGAAAGTCATTTTAAAGTGTATATAAACAAAAATACTAAAGATGTGTGAATGATTTCCTATTTGCTTTGTTAATCTATAGTTGTGCACAGTCTATATACTAAGTAAATGTTTCATAAACATTTGTTAATCCTGCCAGTTTTTACTTTCTCTCTCATCGAAGCCATGTGTAATAGGGTGACCAGCTCCCAATTTCGCAAGACGGTGGTTTCCCTCTGCTTTTTATACAATCTGCTTTAGTCAAAAGACCCCTTTTGTTAAAATCGACCGCTGCTCTGACCATTTAGCAGCCAAGACTAGGACTTTCCTGTAAATGTAACTGGCCCTTTTGCTGGACAGCTTGGCCTATCACAATTCGTGAAAAAAAAAAAAAAACAACTCTACTATTAGGATCAACAGGTAATATTATCATACAGAATTTATTCTGCATAGCACCAACATTTTGCTCAGTGCTCGGAAAAAGAAACAATGATGAAGGTCTGCATGATAGGAGTATTTTCTTAGTTTTGTTTGCCTATTGATGTTACACAGCATGAAAGGGGTCACCTGATCAGTGTCTCTTTAAGGCCCCTTTCACTTGGGCACCACCTGTTATAATCAGCTGGGGGATCTATGAACATATCTGTCAATTGGAGCAGTATGGAAGAGATGTCTAAAGGTGTCCATACACCTTACGATTATAGTACGATAATCGTATGCGATCGACTTTTCGTACGACAATCGTAACATGTGAATGTAGTGCCCGATCGATAGTACTGTACAATTGTACGACTTTTGAAGGTCAAGCATGTTTGAAAACTTAGGTCGATCGTACGATGTTCGCATGGTTGGTGGCGTTTCCGTCCGTCAAAAGTCGTACGATTAACACTGCGCATACGAAAAGAATTACGGTCAATTACCGCAAGTCGTCCAGGTGTTTTTTTTTTTTAACTACCGCTGATTGAACCTTGCTATAATCGGGGCAGGATGGGGCAGTCGTACGACAGTTCGATCATCGAACGAAAAGGGTCGATCCGATAATCGTAAGGTGTATGGGCACCTTTAGGCTGCAACTAATGATTATTTTTAGGCTTCATTCACACAGGGGAGAGAGGGGCCGCAAAGATCCATGCCGTGTGCACGGCCGTATCGGGCCGTTCCTGGAAAGGACAGGTGCTGCATGTGATTGTACGCAGCAGCCTGTTCTTCCCTGTGGGAGGACGCGGCCTTATGCCGTCATATGCTCACCTGAGCTACACATCCGTGCAGGTGTCCGTATTCGGAAGCAGACAGGATGGAACCTGTCTGCGTCCGAGCACAGACACCCACAACTGCACAGCTCAGGTGAGCGTACGGCCGTGTACTCCCAAAGGGAAAAACAGGCTGCAGCGTACAATCACACGCAGCCCCTGTCCTTCCCGGGAACGGCCGTGCACACCGCAAGGATCTGTATAGGCCTACTCTACCCTGTGTGAATGAGGCCTTATCGATTAGCTGGCCGATTATTTTTTTGATTAAAATCGGGTTCAAAAATTTAAATACCATCCTCAACTTAAAATAAAATGCACAAATGCAGTGTTACTACAGAATAAAACTGCATGCACAATTTTTTGCAAATCGCTCCCCACACCAGAATGAATACCGCAATGCCGTGCGTTCCAGTGCAGTGCGATTGCAAAAAATTGTGCATGCAGTTTTCTTCTGAAGTAAACTTTGTTTGTAACAATGCTATTGTGCATTTTTTTTAAATTAAGGATGGTATTTATTTTTTTTAATCCGATTAAATAAAAAAAAAAAAAATCGGCTAGCTAATCGATTATGAAAATTATCATTAGTTGCAGCCCTAGACATCTCTTCCAATACTATTCCAATCGACAGATATGTTCAACATAATTTGTTAAACATCATGGGATCACAAACCTCATGGAGGTAAGGTGTTGATTGCATTTGTATAATTGGAGCTAGTAGGTGCTATTAAGCTGCCATGAGAGAGGTCTTAAAACAGCATTGTATGTGGCAGACAATAGAACTTTTTGTAGACCTAGACAAAGTCCTAGATAATGAGATGTAAATGGATGATGGTCCGTTTCAGCCGACTTCCCATAGACTTAAGGTCCCCACACACCTTACGATAATCGCGGGAAATCCCGCGATCGTACGATTATCGTAAGGTGTGTGGAAGCCGTGCGACCTCTACTACTGTAAGGTGGCACGACTTTTAACTTACGAGCATGTTCGAAAACCCGACGAGCATCGTACGATGTTCAGCGGGTTTGTGGCACGTTCGTACGATAAAAGCCGGACGGGCCGGTGTGCGCAAGCGCACACTGCCCGTTCGGTATTGCGGTCATCGGAAGCCCGCCTCTCAGGGGGCGTGGCTTGCGATCATCGCAAGTATGATCTGCCTATGCAAGATAGGCAAATCATACGTTTTTTAAAGTACCTTACAACCATCGCAAGACAAAAGTCTTGCGATGGTTGTAAGGTGTGTGCCCAGTCTAACTTTGAGCTTTTGATCAGGTGCACCTGAAAACTGACAGGCAGACTTGTTCAAAATGCCATGTAAAAGGGGCCTTACAGTGTTACATTGCTGATATACAGTAAAAGAAAAGGCCTTACATGTGTTGCAATAAATAGCACTTGGGTAAAATCTCTCCTTTCAAACGTTCCTAAACTGTCTCCATCATCCCAGAACAGGTCCCCTCGTGCAAATCCCTCCGTAGTAAGTGCCACCACCAGCACCAGACTATTCTTGCGTGTCTCCTGTGTGGTCATACCTGGTAACTGGAGGGTAAAAGAAAAATTAGATACAGATTTACTGACAGATGCTGCAATTTAAAAAAATTAACAGTACTTAATGGAAGTGCATATTTTCAGTTTCAAGACCAAGTAGAAAAATTCCACATCAAAAATACAAAAACACAAATAATCTGCACAAACTTGCATTTAGTCCAAATACATATAGGGGGGTCCCCTTTCAGGGGAAAGCAAAAGTAGTTGTATACAAGAAATCATCAAAAAAATTATTGAAAAGGAGTAAAATTTTTCCAAGAATTTTCAAGAGGTATTAAACCCCCAATTGTTATCATGAATTAAATCAAAAAGAACCCCCATAGGGACGTACACCTTGGGAGTTACCAATAGTTTAAAAATATAACAATCTTTATTAACCAGTTGACATCCGCGGTGTTAAACCCCCTTCCCATCCAGGCCATTTTTCAGATAATTAAAACCATACTATTATTAAAAAGCCATAATTGAATCTCAAACCTGCATGATATCAATAAGTAGTGTAAATAAATATTACATACTAATTGACTAATCATTACCATTTCATAATTGTAGCAGACACCCCTGGCCGAACACGTTATCAATGGAAGTAAACAACTTGCTAATGCAAACGTCTCACATAACTGAATTTCATTAATAGAAATGAACTTACCAGTGAGCTTTAACATAGAGGCACTTTACTCATCAATCCCCCACAGAAAGGGTCTTCGAATGGTGGATAGATTCCTAAACACTTTGAATATTGCTAAACACTATCATAGCATGCTTCTGGATCTGTTTGCTACAATGTTTGTTGATGCATAATGTGTTTATGTTTGATTGCCACCACTACCGTCAAGTACAGGGCACTGCAATGGGGACGAAATGTGCCCCATCATATGCCAATTTGTACTTGGGTGGTGGGAGCAGGACATATGGTCTCGTTACGATCTCGCTTTGTACCGGTGCCATATTTTTGTATGGGACAGGTACATTGACGACTTTTTAACCATAGGGACCAGCAGCAAGGAATTGCTGGTGGAATTCTTGGAAGTACATGAATAGGAGCTTCCATTCTTTCATATTAAAATATGCAAGGATGGAAAAGGCAAATTTTTTACTAAAATTGTTCTGGAAGAGCACTGCTGGCAATACTATTTTGGATGCCAGCCGTGCTCATCCTTTACCACTTAAATATAATATACCGGTTGGACAATATTTGAGAATTAGATTAAATTGTTCTCTTGACACAGATTTTGAAAGGGAAGCCCATGAGTTACGTATTAGATTATGAAAAAGAGGGTACAAGGACAAATTTCTATGTTGAGCATACAAACAAGCTAAATGCATTGACAAAAGATGGGAGACAACTGGAACAGCTCAAAAAGACAAATGCATGAAAGAACAAAAGGTTGGAATGGTCAGTACTTATAATAACCAATATAAAATGGTCTCCAGCATTTTGTCAAATCATTGGCGTTAGCTAAAGATACTAGGATCTCTAAATTGATTCAGGAAATGCCAAGTGTTACATACAAAAGATGTCCATCCTTACGTGATAGATTGGTCAGAAGTGAGTACACTTGTAACAAGAGAAAAATCTGCTGTAAATATTGTGGCACATATCAGTGTCAGAAATGTACAATGTGTAACTATGTCAAAATTTGAAAGGGCGTTTGTACCCCTAGGGGACAATATGTCACATCAAAACATTTTGTTAATTGTGAAACAGAAGGAGTGGTGTTTCTACTCATCTGTCAATGTGATATGTTTTTTGTGGTTAAAACAAAACGCATGTTTACGAAAAGAATTTCAAACCTTATAAGTGATATTGCATCTTGGAATATGAGGTCTCCAGTAGCAAGACATATGGTTCAATAACATGGTGGCAATACCAGTAAGCTGCCTTTCTTTGCCCTGGATAGAGTGCACAAAAGTAATTGGGTGGAGATTTCGATAAAGTTTACTACAGAGAGAGTGTAGATTCATTCATTGTATGAAGTACCTGGAATCAATGATGCTATCATCTGTTTTTTGTAGTGAGTAGTTGATAATAACTGTTGAATATATTTTTTTATTGCCCATGTACTGTATGATGTTATAATTAGACAAATCTATATTAAATAATTGATAAATTGCTGGATGTGATGTGGATCTTTAAATACATCACTTGATATATAACATATGAGTCGAGTGAGAACGGATTGGAACTCAAAAGGGAAAGGTTTTTCCTTCCTGTTTATATACAGTGGAACGCATTCTCTTCCGTAAACCTGTAGAGGTCAGAAAGAGGGAGATGTTTGAATGGAGAGGCTTTTGGTGCCATGCACCTCTGAGGAAGCCCGCTATGTAGGGCACAAACGCATTAAGGGAGTAACGCGTGGACTGCATCTTCGTCCTGCATGGTGTAAAGATTTCCTGGCCACAAGTCTACTCATGAAACTTTGTACTTGAAAGATGAGCTAGCAGTCAGCAGTATGGATTTGGGACATCTATCAATTATGAAGCGCTTTGCACCTGGATCAAGGCGAGTACAGTTTTCTGTGTGCCCTTGATAAATAACTGCTATGCACGTACAGATGAATAAGGGTTTAATATATACCCCTGCGGTTGGTTGAAAACTAGGTATTCCACAAGAACTGTTATTTGCTACCATCTACTTTACTTGCAGCTATGAACTGCTGGAACTTGGCTGCACATGAACTGCTGATTTCGAACATTGGGGCAGTGGCAGTTTATCTGCCTTCAGATCTTACTGCTTGGAGCTACCTGTTTTTGTCATCTATATATTTGCTCCAATGGGTTGTCTGCATGTGACTTCATGTTTGGACTCCCTCTTTCATACAAGATGCACACATGATATCACTCAGTTATTTGAGACGTTTGCATTAGCAAGTTATTTCTTTCCATTGATAACCTGGTCGGCCAGGGGTGTCTGCTACAATTATGAAATAGTAATGATTAGTCAATTAGTATGTAATATTTATTGATACTACATATTGATATCATGCAGGTTTGAGATTCAAGTATGGCTTTTTAATAAGTGTTTTTAATTAGAGTGGGTTTAATAAAGATTGTTAATGCAGTCATACTTCCTAGGACATCTTTTGGGATCACAACACCACAAGTGGGTGTGTCACAGCCCTGGACTTGTAAAGTGCACTGTGGCTAACAAGCCAATGTCTGGGGAGCCCCAAAAACAGAGCTTAGCATCCAAAGATCACATTACTTGCAGGCCCTGTGTCCTCCTTATGGCGGGGTCCAGGTTCAACCTCCAGGGTGGGGACAAGGATCAGCCCCTGATAATTGTTAATGAGTCCTAGCTCAGCAACCAACAAAAAAATCTTGATTAAAAGGAAAAAAATTGCTTGATAAAAGTAAAAATATCTAGAAAAAAATGGGTTTGCTTTTGTCCAGTTGTCCATGCAACTTTCATAACACTATCATAAAACTGGGAGTGGGAGGGGTTATACCTGGATGGGCAGTGCCTTGTTTTGTTTGCCACTGTCCAATTATTTCTAAAAAGGTGGTAATATAATCCAATGTTTTTGAATTCTGCTGATCCCGTGTACGGTCATGAAATCGCAGTTGCCCTCTATCATTTTGGGGCCACATTTGAGGCCCCCTATATTTAGTAAATTGACAACAGCGACCGTGAGCACCGATAAGTCTGAAGTAAAAAGCTCTGTCTGCCCTTTATCCTAAAATGAATATGGGCAAGGGATGCATTCCCATGGTCAAACTGCTAAGAAGATCTTCCTTCCAATACTTCACCTGTGATGTACATCATTTATATTTGTGAAATACATTGCTTAGCCCAGAAAGAGGCACTAACTTACTTTAAAAGATTGTAATTACTGGAAAAAGTTATATAGTGAATACAAAGATCAACATCCAGCTCTGACTAACAGCAGTTTTATGTAAAACTCACCTACCTTGTTGCCCGAGTGGCTGGAACCCCCTGTTATCCCCGATTGAATGTTAGTCTATGTTGCAGCCACTGTTTTCAGTGGAAATTAGAATTTAAGAAAATTTGCTTTAAAGAACACGGAATTAGTTTATTTTCTGTGGACTAGCCTAGATTCTGGGCCCACCCTCTTGATGGTGGACTGTGTATGTCATTTTCTTTATCTATTTTCTATTTCAAGCTGCACAGCTATAGGTTATGTTTCTATTTTTGTCTTACCTGTAAAGGCAAAATGCAGCCACCTCTAACATGAACATTGATTGTGTCCATTGGTGCAGTAAGTGTGATCCACTGACCTTTACTTTGAAGTTGTACACCCTACGGAATTCCAAAAAAATATATCTTTAATACACACATAATTATATTAATATATATTTAGTGTTTGTGCTGCACTTCTTTGAGATAGTAAAATGATTACAAAAATGTGCATCATACTAAGAATGCTATTCTACTTTGATCTGAGAAAAACAAAGAAGTCCCAACAAAAGAACAATAGTGATCAAGCAAAAAAATGCCTCAAATGATCCAACGTCAATCTGTATGAGACTCTCAGGTATATGATTGTCACACAAAGCAGGCAGACCTTCACCTCCACCCAGTGATTGTTAATAACAAATTGGTGCTCACCTGGGGATGTAGACACAAAGAGCTAGGTCTCAAATGCGCGTTCTCTTCTTAAGAAGGATAGGGAAGCCCGTACATAGCGAGAATGATAAGGTCTCCTCATATTACAAGTGCCAACATCATTTCAGAGGTAGAGAGAAGAAGGACTAAGACTGGGATGCGGTTAAGGTCACTGCAAAGCATAAGGGGGGACTCTTTGCATGTGGAGTAAAAGAGGTTTAACCACTTCCTGGCCGGCTGTTGTAAAAAAACGGCCGGCCAGGAGCTCTCTAGATCTGAGCGGGCATCTTTAGACGTTCGCTCAGCCACACCCGAACGGGAAATGCCGCGATGCCCGTTAATAAACAAGCGATCCGCCGGCTATAGAGCCGGCGGATCGCTTGTATGAGGTCCCGGGATGTGCGCCCCCTCCGCGGCTCCCCCTCCCGCTGTCATGCTGGACTCGGGCTCCGCAGTGCCCGATGCGAGCCCGGGACCAGCATATGGCCTCTGTCACAGGGGATCAGAGGGAGGTCGGTACACTACCTCCCTCGGGTCCCCTCTCCGCTGTCAGAATGCGGAACTGATGTATATTACATCACTTCCGCATTCTTGTGTCACTCTCCAGCTTCAGATATCTGCTTTATCAGCTTCTTCAGGGGGGTCCTAGGTGACATTAGGGGTCTTGTAGACCCCTGATGTCTGCATAAAGAGGACATGTCACATATTTTGCTATCACATAAGGGGGTTCTCTTAGCCCCCTATGTGATAGTCAAGTGACAAAAAAAAATTAAGTTTCCCCCCCCAAAAATGTAAAGTTACAAATAAAAAAAGAATACAAATTTTTTTAAAGTCCCCCCCCCATACATACACGCATGCAAACAGGCGTCGGGTGCGCATACGTGCGAAAATGACGATTTCGCCCATTACGCCGCACATGTTACATATCGTCGTGAACGTCGGAATGAGAGCAATAGTTCTAGGGCTATCAATCACTGATAACACTAAACTGATGAGCGGTAAAAGCTTTTAAAGCGTCGCCTATGGTCAATTTTGGGTATGGTAGTTTTTTGCGATTTCGCGGGTGCGCGCAATTTTAAAGCATTACATGTTTGGTGCCAGGAAGGGGGTCTAAACACTTGGTCTTCAAGTGGTTAACCTTTGCATACGGAAAGGCTTCTTTTCTGGATTAATTCCTAAATGCACAGAATATAACTACATATTAACATTTTATAAGTAAACACCAGAGATTGTTGATCCAGAGAATATCCGATTGCCCTATGGGATCAGGAAGGCATATTTTTTTCCCCCTGTTGGAGCAAATTGAACCATGCTTTATATGGGTTTTTGGATCTCTGGATCCTCTGAATCAGCTGTGGGTAACTGTGGGCATAGTTTATAGAGAGTAAAAAAAAAAAAGGAATTCTCTATAGGTTGAATGCGATAGACTTGTGTCTTATTTCAACCTAACTATGTAAGAATGTAACTGCTATTTTTTTAATAATAAAATCCCAGTGAGTAGAAAGAATTTTACTTTTTCTTTAACCTAACAAAAAGATTTATACAACAACGTGTCAGAAAATAAATAAATGAGGGGAGACTCACCGTCAGAAGTGAATACCATGTCCCAGAGGGAAAGTATCCATTCACTTCAGTTTTCCCCTGCTCAAGGACTGGCGTAATCAGCAGTGCCTCTCCCCAAAGGAACTGGCGGTCGATAGTCCATGTGTTTGGGTCAGTGGGGAACCTAAAAAAAATGGTATTACCCAGAATGCTCGCACAAAAAAATCAGAATAGCGAAGAATTCACTTCAAAAGGGACTTACTCTATGAAGAGCGCACGAGCTACAGTGTCCCCAGAGCTGTGAGCTCTATGAAACAACGTGTACAGATAGGGAAGCAGGGAATACCGGATGTACAAAGCATTTCGTATAGCGGTCTGAGATTTCTCACTGAAAACATATGGTTCCTGTGGCTAAAACAGTAAAAAAATAAAAGAATATTAGTTTCACAGGGTGCTATACGTACCACCATTAGTCATCTGCCCCATTAAGAAAACAATTAAATCCCTGTGTTCATACAGCTATGACATTGGTGTATAGAATTCTCCCAAAAATGTAATCTCCTGCTTTTTGATTGAATGACTGATTTTTCTCTCTATTAGTTATTTTTTACTTGTGGTAATTTCTAGACCTTTGCTTGGGCAGTTTCGGTTTTCCCCTTTTGTCTGTTTCAGGTCACCCTTAAGCGGTTACTATGCAGGAAAACCGGAAGTTTGCTGTTGCTGGGAGGATTTCATAGCTCCCATTACACCTGATTGGCAGCTGATTTTGTGGTGGAAAATCAAACATCCAATCAATAGATATCGATCACCTTTACATATCTTGTCAGAGACTCTGTCAGCAGTTATTTATTCAATGCATTTGTTTACAGGCTGGTTTTGGTTACTGTGGGGTCTGCAGTGTTCTATGTGGGGATAAGAAGATGGGTATTTAACGTCACACTGATGTCACCTTACCCGAGAATCATGACTGTTATGATTTCTCATGAATGGATAGAAAGCACCCAGCTGACTCCATCGCACACAAAGCTCCTCAGTAGTATCTCCACCAAAGCCGCAAATGTCTGCTCCGACCAGAGGGACTCCGTACATATTGAAGAGTAATATGGCTGGAACAAAGACAGTGGAACTACTGTGACCTTTCAAGTCAGTTATATAAAGATGCGACATTATCATGTAATACAGATCTGAACACATATTACCTGGTACTGTGTAATATAACTGTTCCCAGCTGCTGAATATATCTCCTGTCCAATGACCTGCATAGTGCCCATGGCTAGAAAACGTGGACCGAGAGATGATGAAAGGGCGTTTCCCACGGATCTTCACTAAAGCACTAGTAACCATAGTAACAAAGATTCATTAAAAGAGGTCCTGAAAAGGGTCACCACACAATAAAACAAAACATTCCAGTAAACAAGTTTATTTTTTCAGTGTTTTCTCTTTTAAACCCAGTACTTTTCTTCTTTGTGAACATATCAAACATTCAACTCATGTAGAGAAGGAGATATTAGGCTGATGGGAAAGGAATCCATGCATAAACCTTATGCTGTCTTTGTTTACTTCTCTCACACAGCATAGCATGTGTGCATACACAGCATCCTTTTAGATGTTATAAGTATAATCAGTAGGGATGCACCGATACCGGTTTTTCAGTATCAAGTACCGATGTTTTGCTACTCGGTACTCACCGATACTGATGCTTCCGCTGGCATGGAGCCGGCTTTCCGGGCAATCAGGAAACCGAGCGGCGAGTAATGACATGCCTCCCGGCTTCCTGATTGCCAAGGAAGCTGGCTCCATGCTGATTGGCTGGAAAGTCGGCTTCTCAGCCAATCAGCAAGAAAACGGCTGTTCGGCCGGGAAGGCGGCAATCAGGAAGCCGGGTCATTACTCGCTGCCCAGCTTCCTTATCGCACAGGAAGCTGGCTCCATGTTCCCCCTACGGCACTGCCGGTCAGAGGAAATCTTCCTCTGACCGGAAGTTCCAGTATCGGGAAAAGTATTGGAGCATTTGGACGAGTACTCGCCCAAATAATCGGCATCAGCACCGGTACTAGTAACGGTGCATCCCAAATAATCAGTTATTTTAATTGGCTAAATCGCGGGTTGCCTCCCTGTGGGCTCCTAGTTTACACCTCTCCCCTATAAATAAATTGATAGAGAAAAAGAGTAGGCAAATAATAGGGTTTCTGGAGGGGTGTAATTGACCATCCGAGAGAGATTTGCTAAAAATATATTGAATTTTATTTAAATAATATTAGTTAAAAAATATTAGTGCATTACATGTATTGATCAAAACCCTACATGATCTTGGTTTGTATAGTCATTGATAGGATATATACATAATTGTAAATCCAGATATTCAAGATTAGCATGATATTGGTCACATAATTGGCAACCACATGGTTGCCCCTATAGTGCTTAGACTAAATAGGTCCCTTTGTATAAACATTGATTGGATATAAACAATAGCATACATAAAAGTAGTCAAATTAACATGATAGTAATCACAGCGTTGACAGTAATGTGGACAACAACATGATTGCCCCTAAAGTGGCTTAACTTAATAGGTCCCGACGCGTTTTGTCAATGGCTTCATCAGGGGACCCACAAGAGATAGATCATGCAGGGCTAGTCAGTAAGGTAGGAGAGATACTTGGAGGATTGAGAGGGCGGAAGCCGTAAGGCCCCAACAAAGCCTCCACGGTCTCCTATTGAGTCGCACCCGGGACCCCAGGGCCATACGGAAGGAGACGACACCCAGCCATCCAGCCAATCACACCGGGAGGCGTTATAAACATTGATGCATATTGGGGGTACGGCCCGGTTGGATAATGGTATAGTCCTATTAGGTCTCCCTGATGGTGTGAGGCTGGCTGCTTGCCTCCAAGGTGATCTCATGGAGTGATATCATGTTAGACTGCAGCTGTATAAACAGGCAGCTGCAGTCAATGTATAAACATATACACACACCCGTAAACATCATGAGAGAAGAATTGGCCGCCATTGCTGAACTTAAAATGCTAGTCACCTGGCTGTATCTGACTTCAACACTTACTTCAATGACCTTTAAAAAGTATGATGTGAGTGGCAGAAATGTATTGGATTCCTTACCTCTACACGGATTGTTTGTGGGACAGTGAATCAGAAAGTGTTGAGGCCAAAGCATGAACTGTACAGCTAGGGAACTATCCTGAAAATGTCAGCAATGGGGGCCTATATAATCCTGCCATGACAAGTGGAATTTAAATCTTAGGCCTCATTCACACAGCTAAGAGCCAGCCCATACAGATCCGTATTGGGCGATTCCCAGGAAGGACAGGTGCTGCGTGTGATTGTACGCAGCAGTTTATTCTTCTCTGTGGGAGTATGCGGCCGTACGCTCACCCGAGCTGCACATCCGTGCAGATGCGGGTGTCCATAATTGTACCCAGAAAGGATGGATCGCAGCACCTGTCCTTCTCGGGAACAGCCCAATACAGCCTTGCACGCCGCACAGATCTGTACATGCCAGCTCTTAGCAGTGTGAATGAGGCCTAAAGGCAGCTCTGGGGACCTCTAAATCTTCTACTACATTCAGGGCCTGTTCACACTAGACCATCCGCTAAAGCGCTCCATTTTAGCAGATTGCACCTCCGGCGCTGTGTGTTGCATCGCAAACTGCCGAAGCTGTCACTGTTTACATTGTGTTTTTTAACTTTACGTGGCATGTACAATGTGTACTCTCCCTTCAGTTCTCCGCACAGTGCAATGGAAAAAAAGTAGAGCATGTACTACTTTTTCTCCACCGAACTGCACTGTAACGCACAGTATTGCGGTACCGCGCGTTGCGCTGGGTGGCAGTGCATTGCGGCCAGGATCTGCGCGAAATAGTGCGTTAAATCACTTTAACCATGCAAAATAACACAAAAGTACAATTATCCTATTCAGGAGACTTAAAACACTGAGGGCCACAAAAGAGGCGCAAAATGTCCATATATGAGCTACAAAAGCACCGGTCTACTATGCCTGGATAAGACTATGAATCGTGTAATGCTGGCCATACACTATACAATCTGATTGTACAATGTCCTTTAGATCTATCATGAAGTAAGCAGTGCAAGGGCCTGCCTGATTTGATATGATTTGGTAAATCATAGATTGTAGAATCACATTGTATAGTCAGACAGACATTTACACCTTCTATGACTGTGATAACAAAAAATTTGCGACAGGAAATTCCTAAACGATCACATAGTCAATTAAGCCAACCAGAGGAGGTTTTGTGAATGGAATGATGTAAATACATGTATACATTGTGTTCCAAGCTTTATATAAATGCTCGTTTTCGTTCTCTGTTCACTTACTGGTATGATGCGATTGCTTCAGAGAGACCGTACAAGTTATGAAGGTTGTAGTGAGAAGAGATGTTCTGCTGACTGGATGTACAAATGGTAGCGTGTTGTAGGGTACCGCCTTTGACAGCTACAATGACATAACAGAACGATATTTGTCAATAAATAAACACTGCATGACCAACAATAGAGACTACCAGGCTAGAAGGCTTAAAAGGGGGTCATTAGGGAGTCCATACAAACATACTGTACATAAATTAACATCAGTATTAGTATAACGGAGCTCCAGCCTTCCCTTCAATCTCGCACAGGTGCACAGGCTCCTTGTACTGAAATTGCCGAATCTGATTTCACTGCACTGTGAGCTTCTCACAATATGCATTAGAACCTGAAACAAGTCAAATAGAGCCTGCCTCATTTCCTGGCTGGAGGATTTCCAGCATCATCTAGCACTTTCCTCACCAATCTTACGGTTTCTAGCCTGCCCTTTTCATTCATTGGATTTCAACTTTTTGCTCAGTATCACAAAGGGGGGTTACCTACTGCATGCAAATACTACCTGCAAAGCAATGCCTACTCCTCCAGACCAACATCCAGCCAGCCATATCTACATTACTCTTCCTGAATGCCAGCCCACTGCTTGCATCAGGGCTCTTAACCCTTTTGCTGCCACTGACGTAAGGCTTACGTCGGTGGCAGCAGGCCTGTTTAAAACAGACTTCCAGCGACTCCGTTTACATTTGAAGAGCCAGATGACGGCTTTACAATTGATGCAATTCTGGCGGCTCAGCTGCCGTCAGATTGCTTTCACGGGCCGGTAAAGTGCCCACCCCCCCTCTGCCCGACACCCCCGTTGTTTCCCGGGCTTCACTGCCCCTCCTGTGGGCCCGGCATGTCAGGTGCCGGTGGGAAGCTGGGATAAAATAAATGTAAAAGTAAATAAATGTAAAAGTTCCCCGCCCCTGCGAGCGCGCATTCACGTAAACTCGCGTTGGGTGCGCCTATGTACGAAAACGACAATCGTGCTCCCTAAACTCATGACCTGTAGGGGCTTGTAAAATTTTTGCATGTTCTCTTGTTGGAGTAACAGCTGCCTAAGATGGGGTTTATCTCACTTTGCACAGATCTACTGACCGCTTGTTGTTGTGTCCCCAGGACAGGAAGTGAAGGGAAATCTCCTTTATGGGATACAGACAGCAAAAACAAACTGACAGTGGTTTTAACCCTCTACTCCACTATCCAAAACAAATATAAAAAAAATTGGGCTATACCTAGACTTTAAAGACAAAACATGAACCCCATTGTCTATGCACATTCATGTTAAGACAGTGAGAGGAAAACATATACCCATTACAGCAGTGTTATCGGGGTGTCAGGAGCTTGTATTGGACATCAAGGGAACAGGAAGACATGCATTGCCCAATATTTTCTATGGAGATAATTTAGTGTTACAATGCAGAGTTGGTAGTGGGGGGATAAGAATTCTGCAATGCGACAACAGGTAGGATGTAGAAAATCAATGTCCATTCTTTGTGGTGTGCTTGGAGTTCATCTTTAAAGCAGAACACTGTATTTTATATATCTCCAATTAGTAGGCCAGCACCTTCTCTCTGGGACTGTCCTCCACAGGGTCACTGGTCCTCTTCCAGGGTGAATTACGACCAGTGCTATTCAACCCATTTCCGGTGAGCCCGGGATGTCACAGGTCCCCTCCGTAGGCGTGGATCCACACTTTAGCCTAGGCTCACAGTACAACACCGCAAAGAGCTGTGATGTGCTGGCACTGGCGGCCAAGGTTTTGCATTTGCTTTCGGAACATTAAGTAAAAGCATTGCTGATACAGTCACTGCCATCTCTCTTTAAACCACAAAAAACTATTGATGCAATGTGAGGAAACTAACATACAACATTCTAAAATTGTTCCAAACTAAAATTGTATTTTACTCCTTATATTTCGTGACCTATATCTCCCACAATAACCTAAAATCCCAGACATAGGATATATCCTATAAAATTAGGACAAATAAAATAATTTAGTATGAATTACTTTGTTAGCTACACTACTTATGTGCACATAATTATTGTCAAAACTGTGAAAATGTTTTTTTTTCTTCAATTTTTACAATTGTTTATAAAGAAAAACATAAGAATTTATATATGCATATGTTGCATCAAATTAAAGCCTATTTTGTCCTTTAAAAATTGTATACAATATGTGTAGGTGGAATGAATGGGGAAGATGGAAATTATGGTTAAACAAACGCATAACAAAAATGGCAAAATTGCTCCAGTCCCCAGAAACGAAAACATTTTCTGAAGCTGTCAGTAAGGGGTTATAGTGTATTTTCACTTTGGAGCCAAATTGGGATAATACCTACTTTACATTTGTTACATGTTCCCAATTGCATAACAGAACTTAAAAAAAAAAAAAAATTGCAGCTTCCCTTTCTTAGATGATTCTTTCTGCTAATTCCAGGACTGAAAAATCCTGCTTAGTTTTCATTGTTTCAAATAATTAACCCTGTTGGTATTTTGCAGGCAGATTTCATTTTAACTTGTAAACCAAATGAGCAGGACTGTCTGTCCTAACAAAAGGGTTAAAGCCCTGAGGACATTGTATGCTATTGAGCCTGTCCTAAGTCTTTTTATTAGTACAGACCACATTACTGAAATTGAGAAAGAAACTTGCAAAGGCTGCTAAAAGATATCTAAAAAGGTAAGAAATATTTTTTACAACTTTTTTTTCATTCTGCTGTGTGAATGGGAACGTACAACAAAAATATAGAGGGGTTTTCTCAATGTTGACTGCAAAAGTGGAAATACAATTTGTGTTTTGAAAAGCATCCCTTCTTACAAACCTGATCCTTTTGCTGCAATGCATACTTTGAAGCAGGATCATTAATGTATTTTTTTATAGTATTCTATTTCTTTCAGTGAAGGTTTTTAATGCATGTCCCAGAGGTCTGTATTCTGGCGCCATGACTTCTAGTTTAAGATGCACTATAGGAAGGGCTGGGTTTGAAGGGCCAGAGATTTTGCCTTGGGGTTCCTCTCCTCGTGACATACAGTATAAAACTACTATAGGAGGTATACAGAATGCTGAACTTCTTTTAATTTAGCTGATCTTACCAGGAATGTACGGAGGGTTTTCAAGTTTATTGTCTGGACAGCCATCCAACGAGCCAGTGACAAAGTTAGATGGTTCATTCATGTCCTACAACAAAGTACAATAAGAACACTAATAATTTCTAATAAAATGTGAAAAAGAGAAATAAGTTAATAATACAACTGATGATACTTTGTTTTCAAAGAAAGAATTGTAACTTCCCTTTAAAAACTAATTACATTGAGGGTCCACATTATAAAAAGGTAATAAATATTAGTTTGGGAAACATTTTCCTTTATTTAATGATGTCAGGGCTACAAAATACATTGAAATAGCTGAAATCCAGGAAAACTGCTAAATACACAGGTGGAATGTCAGTCATCCCTCCCCACAGGGATTCCCCCCTACCCTCTCAGTTCCTCTAGCACTTATTGGAGGGACAGAAAGGGGAGGAGGCAGGCACAGATGGCTAATTCTAGAAAGGCAGACAGCTGTCAATCATGCAGTGGGCTGGATCCCAACAATATTGTCCGCATCCGTCCTGGCTGCTCTTCACTCGAATAATTAGAAAATCGTGCAAAAGTTCATTTATTTCACTAATGCAACTTAAAAGGTGAAACTAATATAGGAGATAGACTCATTACATGCAAAGCAAGATAGTTCAAGCCGTGATTTGTCATAATTGTGATGATTATGGCTTACAGCTCGTGAAAACCCCAAATCCACAATCTCAGAAAATTAGAATATTACATGCAAATCAATAAAACAAGGATTGTACATAGAACAATATCGGACCTCTGAAAGCATGCATATGTACTCAGTACTTAGTTTGGGCCCATTTTGCAGCAATTACTGCCTCAATGTGGCGTGGCATGGAAGCTATCAGCCTGTGGCACTGCTGAGGTGTTACGGAAGACCAGGATGCTTCAATAGCGGCCTTCAGCTCTTCTGCATTGTTCGGGCTCATGTCTCATCTTTCTCTTGGCATGCGCCCATAGATTCTCTATGGGGTTCAGGTCAGGCGAGTTTGCTGGCCAATCAAGCACAGTAATCCCACGGTCATTGAACCAGGTTTTGGTGCTTTTGGCAGTGTGGGCAGGTGCCAAGTCCTGCTGGAAAATGAAGTCAGCATCCCCATAGAGCTCGTCTGCGGAAGGAAGCATGAAGTGCTCCAAAATCTCCTGGTAGACGGCTGCGTTGACCCTGGACTTAATGAAGCACAGTGGACCAACACCAGCAGATGACATGGCTCCCCAAATCAACACAGACTGTGGAAACTTCACACTGGACTTCAAGCATCTTGCAGTGTGTGCCTCTCCATTCTTCCTCCATACTCTGGGTCCTTGGTTTCCAAATGAGATGCAAAATTTGCTCTCATCAGAAAAGAGGACTGTGGACCACTGAGCAACAGACCAGGTCTGTTTTTCTTTAGCCCAGGTAAGACGCTTCTGACGTTGTTTGTTGTTCAGGAGTGGCTTGACAAGAGGAATACGACATTTGAAGCCCATGTCCAGGATCCATCTGTGTGTGGTGGCTCTTGATGCACTGACTCCAGCCTCAGCCCACTCCTTGTGAAAGTTCCCAACACTTTTGAATGGTCTTTTCCTGACAATGCTCTCCAGGCTGCGGTCATCCCTGCTGCTTGTGCACCCTTTTCTTCCACATAACTTTCTATTAATGTGCTTTGATACAGCACTTTGGGAACATCCAACTTCTTTTGCAATTATGGAGGGTGTCAATGATGGTTTTCTGCACAACTGTCAGGTCAGCAGTCTTTCCCTCTATAGTATACCTCTATAGTAGTTTCCTACTGAACCAGACTGAGAGACCATTTAAAGGCTCAGGAACCCTTTGCAGGTGTTATGACTTCATTAGCGGATTAGGAGTGGGACACTTTGAGCCTAGAATATTGCACCTTTTCACAATATTCTAATTTTCTGAGATTGTGGATTTGGGGTTTTCATGAGCTGTAAGCCATAATCACCACAATTATGACAAATCACGGGTTGAACTATCTTGCTTTGCATGTAATGAGTCTCTCTCATATATTAGTTTCACCTTTTAAGTTGCATTAGTGAAATAAATTAACTTTTGCACAATATTCTAATTATTCGAGTTTCACCTGTATGTAACCTATGTACAGTTTGGGTCACAGGAGGACATTAGTAAAAAGGTTTGGCTTTAGTTCTCTAATATTTATTACCGGTCTTGTTTCTCCCCCAGCCTAATTGGCACCCCAATGCACTGAGACAATGGGCCTGCATTGCAGCACACTGCCACACGCAGTAAACACACTACCTTGCGTTGTAGCATTTTGCATTGGCAGGTCCAGTTTTAGGGGCACTGAGGTGCCTTGGGGGCCCATTTTACATGAATAGGCTATCTTAACGCAATGTGTGATATCCAGTAACGTAACACGTTGTTAGGTAGCATTTCATGATTTATTAATTAATACAGAGGTGCATTGTGCCTTATAGCTGTCTGGAGTTCAGATTTAAACAAATATAAAATACTGAATATTTTCTATTTCAGTCAGCAAATGGGGCACTATGCACCTTTTCAAATATTCTCCTGGCTATCCATATCAGCTTTGATAAAGAATACCACAATCATACTATGTACACTAATCATTTGTTTTATCAATGGCATTACAACTTCATATGATTAATTAGTATTTTATATCCCTAGAAAAATCATGGAGTATAAGCGCAATAATTGTAAGCTTGATAAAGGTCTGATGGTCAATACATGGCTCACTTGAAACAAAAATCAGCCATCTTTGCATTTGAGACACCATTTGGACCTTTTTCCTGTTTTTAAAACAGAATGACGTAGCCCTAAGCCTAAGATATCTGTGTTTCTCCATGGATAGTATTATGTTCAGATGTGCTAAGAGCCACATAACACGGATACAGCTCATCGTATAGCATTTTGACAATAATGAAGAGAGCCGTTATATACATAAGCATAGTGTACATTTGCCTTCATGCGACCATACTCGTTTTCATTTTTGGTCTGCTAATATTCACTACAGCAATGAACTATGACATGTGTGATTGACCCTTATATTTGTCATTCACTGGGTTTGTAAAAACACAAGATGACATGGCTTAGTGTACCAGAAGATGATAATTTGCAAGAGAAAGCACTTATTTGGATTCAGCTTAAGGTAATTTACAACCTACATTCAATGAATATATCCAAACTCTACTTACTATCCACATGCCATCAAAAGGAACCTTGTCGTGAAAATCTTTTGCCATGTCATACCACCAGCTGAAAGTTTCAGGGTTTGTGAAATCAGGAAACACCGTAAGACCCGGCCATACCTGTTAAAGGTAGATAATTGTAAACAAACGACTTGTGGAAAAAGCAATACTAACATACCGTATATACTCGAGTATAAGCCGAGTTTTTCAGCCCATTTTTTGTGCTGAAAAATGCCCCCCCAGCTTATACTCGAGTCAGCGTCTCAGAATTAAAAATGCAACTAAAATAAAAATGTAAAAAAAGGCGATTAAGTAAAAATAATAAAACAAATGAACAAGTGGTAAAATTAGGTACCTTGGCTTATATTCGGGACGGCTTATACTCGAGTATATACGGTAAACAGTTTGAAAATAATAAGATCAGAGGTGTAGCTCAAGATGGCAAAACTGATACTAAACAGGAAAGTACTTAGCAGAAATTAAATACATAATTAGCCATGGAATCCCATATTTCATACAATTTAAAGTATACAAGGTAGCAGCATAACATTTTAGTTTGTAAGCTCTCACGGGCAGGGCTCTCCCAACCATCGTGTTTTGAGTTGCATTGTAACTGTAATGTCTTATACTGTAAAGAGCCGCACAAACAGTTGGCGCCATTTAAATCCTGTATACTAATAATTTTGGAGGACATACTCAGATGAATGACCAACTCCAATTTTGAAAAAAAGGACCTGTCACCATAGATAAAAGGGGCATTATGCCCTTGTGTGCCACCATTTTTGCCCTTGTGTTATGTAAAATTCTGCAAGGAAATGCTCCTCATTTCCAAAGTGCCTGTGTGGATCCTGCTTAGCGAATGGCCAACTGAAGCCTTCACATAACACAGCCTTATTTTTCTGGTTTCTGGTTCAGGTAGAGCTAGTGTTAGGCTTAGAGACAGGGAAAGAACTTGCTGCACTTGAGGCACATGTAACCTCCATTATCTACACATATAGAAGTACCTTGTCCAGGACACATTAGGATTTCTAGCACATCAGTGATAAATGTGGAACACCAAAAGAAAGCATTCCCCAAAACTCATTCATCATACCTTGCCTACAAGAGGTTGGCCAGTCCCATTAGTGATGAACACCCTTCTCTTCAGTCCATCATCATAAGGTGGATAACTTCCAGGGGGGCTTGAACTGCTGATAGCTGGGTCCTACAAATCAGCATAATAGGCTGTAATGGTTAGACAAGAAATCTCTGGAATTCATAAACCAAATTTGTTATGACATTTGCGCAGTGGTTATCACTTCTGCCTTGCAGCACCGGTTCAAATCTCGGTCAGGAAACCATCTGCCAGGAGTTTGCATGTTCTCCCTGTGCTTGTGTGCAATACACTTACCTCCATCCGCTCCAGCGATGGAACCCGGAGCTGCCTATTGGGACACGTTGTGCCGCTCCTTCCCCCTTGAGCCGACTGTCAAGATAAAACCGCGGGATTTTCAATTGCTCAGGGTCCTACTCATGTTGTGAATGCAGAGCAATAACCCCCTGCGCTATTGCAGTTACCCACCTCTTTGGACATATTACTGGCCGTCGTGTATTACCAATACCATCCGCTCTGTCTTTTGCCTTTACATTGAATTGTGTAAATTATTGCTGAGAACTATAAATCCCCATCTGCTTCGTCTAGTGCTATTAGCGTGCTACTTAAGATTACGAACCAAGAGGAACTACTAAATACCTTTGTTATATATTCTTTTGTACAATTGCAGTATGCAAGCAGGTTATTATACTACTGATCTAATTAAGTGACTCCTAATGTTATTTCACATTGTGATTGCAAGCAGCAACAAATTGTTCCATGTATAATATAGAGTGCTATACTAGGCGTATGAAGGAATACACCAGTGAGTGCACGAATTTCATTAGCTACCATATATATAACGGTGCATGATGTATACCAGTTCCACAACCTCCTCCGCACTTCATGGAACGTAAAATTGTGAAACAAACCATTGGAGACAGTTACTCCCTTTGGCCAAGGTAACCTACTCGCCTCTGCAGCTGAGATCCTATAACTAAATTACTGCAATATTACATTGTGGGTTTCCTCCGGGTACTCCGGTTTCCTCCCACACTCCAAAGACAGGCTGGTAGGTTACTTGGCTCCTGTCTAAACCGGCCATGTATGTATGTGAGATGGGGACCTTAGATTGTAAGCTGCTTGAGGGCAGGAACTGATGTGAATGTGTAGTATGTAAAGTGCTGTGTAACTTGACGGTGCTATATAAATACCTGCAATAAATAACTATATAAATAAACTCTTGTTTTAGGTTTGTATTTGTAGTCTTGAATAAAATAGGAAATGGTTCACAGCCCTGCTGGATGGTTTTTTTTTCCTCTCTGTGTTGCTTCATTTCCTGTCCCAAAGACACAAGAGGAAGTGAAGGAAAATCCTTATGGACAGTTATCACTGGCATAAGAGTCCCCACTGGAAAATTTCCCCTTGCCTCCTGTTCTTGTGACAACTGTAAAAGTATGTTATTCTCTATCACTTTCTGTCCCTTTTGACAATGACCACCAGGACAAACAGAGAGGGAATCTACAAAGTGGAGACACAGAGAGAGAAAAAAAAAAAAAGGGAGGAGGACAGAAAAAATTGACAGATATTTAAAATTCTTTAAACTTTAAATTGATTTTTCATACTCTACACTTGGATTCCATCATGGTTCCTTACCACAATCATGATGTATTTACGACCTTGTTCATGGAATTCTTTAACCATATTCGCATAGTCCTTAAACCGTGTCTGATCATATGTGAAGTCTCGGTTTGCATCCATGTAATCAATGTCATTCCATTGTACATCCTGGGCAACATCAAAGTAGTGTGAAAAGATTCCACATATCACAATAGGTTAAATACAATTGTCATGTCTTGGTCAGCAATTGTTTTAATTCCTGACTTTCATGGCATTACTGTGACGGAGCAATCAAGGCTGCAATTAAAGAAAACATGTCACAAGAAAAATATGTACGCTGCTGCTTCTGGCCTCCTTCACAAGTGCTAATTGCCTGAATTTCATGCAGACATTTTGGTTTTAATACTTTTCAAGTCAGGCATGGAACAAGTATTCAGGTCAAGAGTTCAGGCTTCAGTCCAACTCACTAATTTGGAACATGTATGCAGCTTGTGAGCTTCTGAGGCTAAAGGATCAACAAAAAAGGCAACTAGCATTTTCAGAAGCAGGTCAACAATGACAGCTTACAAAATTCCTGAAAGTGTAAGTGTAAACCCTAACAATTAAGTTTTCTAAACTCTATTCAAATCTGAATTATCACCATGAAGTGCAGATGGATCCATGTTTTCCTAAACATATAGTCCCCAAGATAAAACATATGTCAAACAAAATAACATATGAAGTGCATCTCTCAATACATGCACATTTCCACGCCTCATCCCTTTAAAGACCCTACAAGAGTGTCTTTTCGTAAACTACACAACCACTCCCAAATCTATCTGCTGTTCCCCCCAAAAGCCAGCCGACCCGACCGTTAGCTGCGATGTCAACGCTAGATCCGCCTATCTGTTTACATTTGACCAGAACCTGTCAAATTGTTCATTCCCACAGGTACGGGAGTTCCCGTGTTGTCGGGTCGGCGGGCTTTTTGCAAATGAAACCCCATGCATTTTATTTTTTTTTAAATTATTTTTGACTGGGGGTCCCTCCTAACATTCATACCAGGCCTAAAGTGTCTGGTATGGTTTGGGAGGGGGACCCCATGCGTTTTTTAATTTGTTTACATTTTGTGGGGTGAACAGTCTGCTTCGGCTGTGTGTTTGGCTCAGCCAAGCTGCAGCATACGTGTTCAACTTGGCTGAGATCTGTTTGGTTTACAGGCTATTGTGAATGGCCTGTCCAGCAGACCTCCGGTTCGGCTGAACCGAAGGCTTCCCACAGCCGAAGTCAGCCGAAGGATTAGCCGAAGGCTCAGCTTAATCCTTTGGCTCGGGGGTTATTCACTAATGATCAGCTTAACTCACAGGACTTTAGCACACAGTGTCAACAGACATTACATTCCTGCCCTGCATGGGATGTCCATAAAAGGAAACTGCAAGTGATTTTTCAGTCTTTGAATGAATAGAATACAAAATCTTAACATAACTGTGCATCAGAAATATACATACAACTTTATTGAGTGGGTACAGATCAACTTAAAAGTGTACCTGAAAAAAAAAATACTGCATTGCTTATTCTGATCTCACTACACGCTCTGAGCTTCTCACAATGTGCATTTAAAACTTCAGCAAGTTAGATAGAGTCTGCTTCATTTCATGACTAGAGCATGTTCAGTATCATTTAGTGCTTTCCTCCCCAGCCTTACTGTCCTGGACCACCCCTTTCATTATTTGCATTTCAGTTCTTTCATACATGATGGCTCAGCATCATATGTGAGCATTACTTAGGGCAGGCTGCCACTGCTAGACCCTCCCAACAGCTATGGTCTGCCCGCATTGCATAGAGAAGCACACAGACTAAGTGATGTCACTGGTGGTAAAACAAGATATGTAATGAAAAAATGTTATTTAAAAATTCATTAGCATGTTGATAAGGTTTAAAGGAGGAACCAGGGAATGCGAAACACAAGCAGGTTAAGCTCTAGCTTTAAACCCAAAAACAAAAATATATATATTGCAGCTTACTAGTCCTTAGATGTGGTGGATGCATTTGTTTTCTTTTTTAATGGGTTTTGTTCCCTTTGTTTGTACCTGGTCATACTGCCAGTAACACTTCTTGTGCGAAGGTGACAACGGTCACTCACTGCATTGTACGGTAGCTATAGCGCAGCAGCATTGTCACAAAAGGCTGCTCCTAATGTGGACTACAAACACCTCCCCTTTTGCTCATTTCCATTACATATGGGTGGGGGGGGGGGTTGTGTAGTTCCCCAAAAAAATGTTTGGTAAGCAGGAAACATTGTTTGAGATTTCAATTCAGCACACAGAACTTTACAAGGATACTGGATTTCTATCAGGATAATTTTCGGTACTTTCAGAAAATATACCCTGAAAGTAGAAAACTAAAACAGTTATCACACCTAAAGACTGCTAAGCTGCAGCATATACAATTTTCAATCTTGGGTTTAGATATAATTTATTTGTATACAATGTCCCCAACCTAATTGAGGCTAGAACCCCTTACCCTTTTGTATGCTTACCTCTGGATTTGTCCACGCCGGCACATTAATTTCCCATTGACTTGAATGGAGCTGTATTTCTGTAAAGATGGCCCCAATCAAGTCTACGAGGAGTTACTACATGGCCAGTGCCAAAGGGGATAGCTGCATCTATGATGTAAATACCATGGGTAGCTGCTGCCACCACAGATGTAAATTTGCACCAGTGATTTGGGGGGCTTCTATCTAAGATTAGGGGACTAGGGAGGGGGGTTGTGCCGATTTGAAGGAAATGCATGGGTGTTTTTAAATGCAACTAATGTCAGTACCTGAATTTGACCTGGTCATTTCTGTACAGAAAAAATGTATATTAGGACTGGATGGACAAGATAAATCCTTTTACATTTACAACAACTGTATATGCATTTCATGTGTATATTTAGGTGTTTGCCTGGAGTCCGGCTTTAAGATAAATGAATGAAGCATTTAGAATGCCTGCCCTAATAAGCAGAAATCATGCATAATCGGGTATTTGTGTCCCCTTACCAAAGGCATATTGGCTTTGGTCATATTTTTCACCACCTCCCGAGTCATATCAGTAGTTGAATATCCCCAGCGACAGATATGGAATCCAAGTCCCCAAAAAGGTGGCATGAAGGGAAGTCCTGTGCAGAAAATGTACTGGTTAGGTCTGCAGATAGCATATCATTACATCATACCAGTATCAATAAGGACAATAGCTCGATTCTAACACAAACTACTAAAGCTGGCCATACACTGTGCAAATTTTGTCCGGTTCCTGATGAACTGGCTGAAATTCGTTCAGTGGGTGGCCTTGTCAGCACCCTTCTGCACGGCATAATTTGATCAGAATATTTTAGGAGCCGACTGAAAAATTTGCATGCAAAGGGTGACAGCAGCCAACCAGCTGTCATCACTGTTCGGATATTCTGACAGCAGTACACCCGCCACTGGTAGAATACAATAGCCCAGCAGGAGATTCATATATTTTAAGTTGTTATGGCCAGCTTTAGTCCAAACATTACTAAAAACCCACATTTAAGTTCAAATTAAAGCAAAACAAAGTTGACATTGTTACACCAGAGAGACTCTGCAGATACCAATGACTACTTTTGCCATTGCTTCCTCCAGCTGGAGGTCATTCCGCAGCCTACCCAGTGTTGGGGCCTAGTCACACCTAGCCAGTCCATTTCGCTGTGTTTAATGTACATGCATTATGCTGTGTGTTAACATACTTTGCCTTAAGACAGTCCATTTGAAAGAGCTGCCATCACACCATAAGTGGCTGAAAATTGGACAGACGCCATTTTTAATAAAGCAGCATACCGCAACACATATTAGTGAGTTACTGTGTGTTGCAGTACACTGCATTCCCTTAGGGGTGCCATTGACAATGAATGGCTTCTCAACAAATTAAAGCGTATGTATGGTGTGTTATGTTACCACAATGCATGGGTGTGATTAGGCCCCATAAAAGAAGAAATAAGAAGTGCCAGAACTTTGTGAAAGATGCGTTTATTAATGCACAATCATCTTCATTAAGGTTGTAATGATGCATGTATGTTAATAGCACTCCTTTTCAAAGGATTAGTGTAACTCTTTTGTCTGATATGGCAACCATCACTAGCCCTGCATCCGGTGGATCAAAGGCTTCCAGGTATGTTTAAGAGGTGGAGGCATGCAACACTGTATAATGGATCCCATAAAGAACCCTTTAACTGATGGCAATATACTGTATTTCCCCCCTACATGTAACTAATGCCCATATGCCATTTGCACAACCCTTAGAATAAAAAGAAGTGTCAAATCTTCATACAGAATTAAGTTTTAAACATACACGCATACATACCTACATACCTACAAATGAAACCCCTTTAGGCTTGTTGCCCAAACAATGAAAAGTTTTTTTTTTTAGCAGTTTACTGAAAGACTTAATATCCCTGTTATTAATTTAGTTCCCCTTCTTTGAACCTTTTCAAATCTCTTGTACTTGTTGGCTAAAATTGTAACCCATTACAACTTGGAACAATGAAAGATTTAGAGGACAACTGCATTTTTGTACAATTATTCTTTAAATAATTCCCCCTAGTGCCCTGATTACCTCAAACTAGAATAAATATCTTCAACCCTGATCCAGTGATCTTCACTGTACGGCCCCATTTACAAGCCTTTCTCCTGAAAACAAACGCTTTGTACTGCGCGTATGCACCACAACCCAAACCATTTCTATGGCAAGGCCATACTCCAAGTGACTGCTGGAAGCCACCATGAGTATGGATTTCCCGTAGGAATAAATGGACAGAGACAGGAATGGATTGAGACAGGAATGCGCAGTATGAAGCAACCATTTTCGGCTGCAACTTTTTACTGCGCTGCTGTGCTCAAGGTATTGGATTAGGGTTAAGGGTATTTTAAAGAGCTGCGCAAACTCTTGGCGCTATATAAATCCTGTATAATAATACTAATAATAAATTTGTCCCAGTGGGAAGCATGCGGTGGTGGTGATGGGGAGTTTAAAAAAAAGTACAAAGGTAAAGTAAATGGAGTGAGGGTCGTAATATATTTACCTATATGATGCATTTTAATAGTAAAATAATGAACAGTATGCACAATTGAAAGGTTTACCAATCACTTCTTGATACTGTCGTATGACAGCCTTGGGGTCGGGGCCCAAGAAGATATAAAAGTCCAAGATTCCTCCTGTGGTTCGCCAAGTCAAGGCTGGAGCTGGCTGCAACAGAACATCTACAAACAAAACATATGGACAACAGTAAGCCAACTGTCTCAGCAATTGTCAGCTATCAAGAGAATAATGCTTAGAAATGTAAGTACAGAGACAACACTGTCTGCCCACAAATGGTTAAAGCCCACCTATAATTGAAGTGTCCAAGTCCTTCAACAAAAATACTTGATTTACTTATTCCCAGTCAAATCCGGAAGATTTTGGACACAGTGTACCAGCTACCTGGCTTTAATATTTATCCTCGCAGGTGGTTGTCTGGCTAGATGCACTTCTGCAGTTGTATAACAAAGCTGAACTCCAGCAAAATTGCTAAACACACAGATGCAATACATATATGATGACTGGTATACTTATCAAATGGATTTGTATTTCTGTCAATCCGGTGCTGCTATTTACACAGTTCTGCCACACAGCACAGTCCTGTGGGGAAGGGGACCTGATCTTTCTCTTCTGCAGTTTTACTTTTACTTACAGGTCTCCTCCCCGCCCCACTCTGAGACTGAACAATAAAAGGAGAAGTGGCACACTGATGAGCTCACCTCTTTCACTTTGCTCCCTCTGCCTATCACCATGTTCCTTGTACTGCAACAGACGCGATTTCTCAGCTGTGCTGCTTCACCCCTTCATCTCTTAGCTCTGCTGTAAAAGGGACTGCCAGAGGCTCATAAATCAAATTCAATAAGCAAGCTTGAATTGCAAGCGTGACATAAGCTTAGCAAGAAGTGCTTTTCACTGGTCAGCGTGGTCAGGTAACTGCACTGACCAATGAGTGCTTGCCATTCGCCAACAAATTCAAAATACAGAGTGCAGGGCTGCTCTCTGGATAGTACATTGGCAACAGAGAAGGGGAAAGAGCATTCAGCAAAAGGTAAATATAGCAGGCAGGGAGAGAGGGGGCCAGATTGGAGGGGGTAATTCCATTTTCCCAAATTCACCTGGTAAAGTGGAATTACCCTTTAATTTATGTAGCTTTAATCTTTGTAATGGTCCCAAATTAGGGCTCATCACACCAGCAGCTGCGCTACAACACACAGCTGCTGGTGTGCCTTGTCCGGCACAGTGCTAACGTGCTGATCCCGGGCACATTGCACGGTTTAATTTTTTTTTAAGAACTTTACTAAAATGTCCCAACTGACAAATATGTCACAGCATAGTGCAAGGCAGTTGTAGTCACAGCCCACTGCACTAAAACAAACAAAAAAAAGTACTGCATACAGTACTGTTTTGTCATGTGAACTGTGCCCATCTGTGATAAGACAAGTTGCCCTGTCTTGCATTAGGGTTGTGCTGAAAAAACTTCCAGCGCAGCCCCAACACATCTGGTGTGAATGGACCCTCAAAGGGTGCAAAGTATCAATCCAGTGAGGGGAGTTGATAAAAACTGGGGCAGACAATCTGGAGCGGGTACCCATAGTAAACAATCAGCTTCTCGCTTTGTTTTCTCTGTTTGTTCCGTTAAGTTTTGATAATGAAAGATAGAAGCCGATTGGTTGTCATGGGCATCTGCTTCAGATTCTGTCTGCTCTAGTTTTAATAAATTTCCCTCTATGACTCTCGCACAGTATGAAATATTTCCTGGATGGTTTTAGCAATTCTTTTTCTGTGTTAAAGTTTGCAGCCAATCCTGGCTACCAATTATGAAAAAAAAGTTATACATGTTCTGTGGCTGAGTTGATTAAGTGAGTCACTCCAAGTAAATGTGTTATTTCTATAGTGTCTGGTGTGCATTCATAAAGCAATGGATGGGTCACTTTACCAAAACCCATCACAGAAACCAGGAAATATAGATTTTTATGATCTATAAGCTTATTTAAATCCTTAAATGACAAATAAGAATGCCAGTGAATATCAAATCAAACTGAAATTTGAAAAAAAAAAAAACATAGGTCTAAATATTTGTTCTCTAAAGGATATATGTTTTTCTAATTTTAGAACATTTTCATTCAAAGACTGTCTGTAGCAATTTTAGTTTATTTACATAAACACATGAAAAAGATCAGATACATGTAAATAGATGTAGTACAGAGACAGATGTTGGAAAAAACACAGAGCAATGCATTACTGTATTTATTCCAAAAATGTATTTTACATTCAGAGGCTAGGGGCAGGAAGGTGACCTGGCTGTGCAGCTTAACCGAGGCAGACAAAAGCATGGTCACCATGCTGGCCATGCTGTCTATCAGGGCTTTGTACATCTCAGGACTGAGTGAACAGAAATACAAACCATTTGTACAGTTAAAGAAAAAGTCTCAGCTTCTATTATTTTTTACAGCCCAGTCACCTAACTCCCATAGTGCATGTAGCTTTTTATCTCATGCTTCTCTGTTTCTGCTTTCTATGCAGAAACTGAGATACAGGCGTTGACAGTTCACTCCCTAACACGCTCTGCAAAGGAGATGGCCTCTTAATTGACAGCTCTTATTGCACTGTCTCTGCCCTTTCCCAATACAAAACAAGGCTCCCCTTACAGTTCTAGTGTCTGTGCTGATTCTGGTGAGAGTGTGCCCCCTCCCTCTGTATTCTTGTGAGCTTGATTGTGTCTGGAAAGTGCAGAGGCCGTGAGATGTCAAGCAAGAGTCCATCTCCTTTGCAAAACGTGGTGCAGAATGAAGAGAAGTGAATTGTCAAAGTCTGTATCTCAGTTTCTACTGCACACAGAAAAATTTGATAAAAAGCAAAATACGCTGTGGGAGTTAGGTGACTGATCTGTGAAAAATACAAGGTGAGATTTCTTCTTTAAGACATCTTCTATATATGTAGTTCATTTGTTTATTTAGTTATTTCACTGAAGCTCAGCTTTAATTTTTAAACCTTGCATTTATGTATAGTTTTTTATGATATACTGTATGTTCATGAGGGTAGTCAGATTTTCTCTTTTTCCATTACATAAGCATGCTTTGCTTAGTCTAAGGATTCTAAGATCTCACTCATAATGTGTTTCTGACTGAAAACAAAAGAGCCTCAGCAGTTTCTAATTAAGTCAGACATTCATAATGCAGAGATTATACGTCTTTGCCTAGGCTTAACCAGTTGACATCCGCGGTGTTAAACCCCCTTCCCATCCAGGAATTTTGACAGGCAAGCATGTTTGAAAACTTTGGTCGATCGTACGATGTTAGCATGGTTGGTGACGTTTCCGTCCGTCCAAAGTCGAAACGTTTAACACTGTGCATGCGCAAACAAAAATAATTGCAGTCAATTACCGCAAGTCGTCCAGGTGTTTTTTTAAAACTACCGCTGATTGAACCTTTCGATAATCGGGGCAGGATGGGGCCGTCGTACGATTTTCGTCCGATAATGGTAAGGTGTATGGGCACCTTTAAGTAACATGGTGGAGCTTAGACCCTTATGATTTATGTGAAACGTGTCTTTACCGTAATGCCCACTTTAAGGATTTTTTTTATACTTATTGGCTTCATTAATACTAACCCATGGCATTGCTGTTAAGTAGAAAAACCCCATGAGCAGAACCATCTTTTTCCAGGGCCAGGTAGAATGGATGAGAGCCATAGAGATTTGTATCTTTCTGGAATTATAAAAAAAAAAAAAGTGATATATCATAGCTTAGTATAATGTCTTATGTATAAATGTTGGAGAATGTGGGAAATGTTATTCACATTAGCCAGTAGTAGTAGTAGTAGGAAATGTTATTCACAGTAGTACAAGTGGAAGGAAAGGCTAAAAAAAATGTTTTAGCTTAAAAATATGAAATTGATAGGTCATAAAAAGATGCTGGAAATTCTACATAAATACAGTATAGTTGGTATACCAAATCTGTATGGTTATCCCTGGATGTCTCCTCCTTCTGCACATCTATTCCACATAGAATAGAACATATTGAATCAGGAAATATTTTAGCACTATTGAACCAATAGTGCTAAAATATTTCCTGATTAAATATGATCAAATGAATACACAGAAAGCTCATACGTCATAAATGAAAGCACACACTTTATCCTTGAGAGGAATTATTTTATTTATGAATGGTTACTTGCAGACTCATGGAAAAGCCAAAGGGCTTAGTTTTGCCTCTTTGCAAACTGGGCTATAGGGTATTAAGAGTTACAATGTATTTGGACAAACAAGCTGTTTCCAAATGTATTTTGTACTACAGATGGAGAGAGATAGAGAGATAGAGAGATAGAGAGATAGAGAGAGATTTACAGGGAAAATTGTTGCTTGGAGGGGGAGATTTTTGGAGGGGAATTTTGCTGGGGGTTTTTACGCTAAAGTAGAATATTTTTATATTTTTGAAGGGAGAAGAAAGTTGTCACATTTGTGCTTGTAGGAAAGGTTTTGCTCAGTTACTATTTTTTGCCTGGATGCCAGTACTCTGACCTTTACACTCTATTTGCCAAAGTGCAACAGTCAGGAGTGTGCAATTTACAGCACAAAAAAAACAAGACAAGTGTCTTTTTGCAAGATTTGGGCTGCTCTGCATTTCGCAGGATCTAGCTGGAAGAAGCAAAACGTTATCCTCATCTAGATGTCTGGCTCTATTATTAGGCAGCAACTTTTTTTTTTATATAGGTGGAGGGGGCCCAGACCTAATAAATGGACCTTGCATTTTACTGAAACAGGCACAAAAAGGATCCGGTAAACATGGTTTTCTTAGGCACTTTTTAGAATATCATAGGAGGTCTATCTAAGGGACTAAAAGGGTATTTGGTATACAAAGTATTTCACTTTAACTACAGAATAAAAGGTTTAAGAAGACCTATTGCATTTTTAAACTGAAAACATTAATCCCTAAATGATCTGAATAAAGACATGCAAGTCTGTACCTTCTCTTTGAGATTGATTTTTATCATTATGATTGCCATCTTTTTTTTTCTATTAGTACAGTGCTATAGATACAATTTTTTATACTATCAGTTTATGATATATTTGTGCCTATAAACATAGAGAAAACCAGGATGGTGCTAAAGATGAGAAAATATATCATTTTATTAAAAATTTGATAGTACATTCAGCATTTGTAAGTTCAAGTCAAATTGCTACACTTTTTCACTTGAAAACAGGATCCTCTCTTGCATTTTTTCCCTATAATAAACCCCTTCAGTGGTATGAGATTGCCATCTACAGGCAATTTTTATAAACGACAGCTCAATACTGTGCATAATTGTAACTTCCATCAGTTTTATTACCGATTGTTTTTACAGTTATATCAATTATTATTTATTTAGCATAGCACTACCAATGCCAAAGCCATGAGTATATAAGGATGCAGCTGAACCTGGCTGTCAGGTAGATGGAGAAATGCATTCTGGTAGGCCCACCATATCCCGAAGGAGGAGGAGCCAGGACTGCCTGCTACATTACAGACTTGGTACTAGTTTGCCGTTCTTGCAGCACACACCATCCTTTACCCGCTATAGCAGGGGTAACTCTGGCTCTCCAGCTGTTGTCGAACTACAAGTCCCATGAGGCATTACAAGACTGACAGTTGCAGGCATGGCTCCCAGAGGCAGAGGCAAGTTGGGATTTGTAGTTAAAGCACAGCTGGAAGCCAGGGTTGTCCACAACTGGGCTATAGGATCTACCACCAATGTCCATGGTGGAAATAGCCCAGAGGGCTATCACAGGCATTTACCTTTCCATACAGATGTAATACTTTTATATGGTTACATTTCGGTGCAAAATACATGATTTTTTTATTATTATTATTATTATTATACAGGATTTATATAGCGCCAATAGTTTGCACAGCGCTTTACAATATAAGGAAGACATTACAGTCACAATACAATTTAAGACAAGATGGTAAGGAGGGCCCTGCCCGTGAGGGCTTACAGTCTAAAAGGGAATAAACTGAAAGGATAAGTTCATTAAAGAAATTTAATTAATAATATATATTAAAATATGCATTTCTGTAACATTTGCATTCAAGCCTGGAAAGCATTGCAAGCGTGGACATTTGATCACCGCTGCAAAGCTCAGTCTTCGGCACGTTCTCTCTCAGGCAGAGCTCGTACAGAGGTACAGAGTTTGTTAGGAGAGATGGGAGGGAAGGATGGCTGGACTTCAAACTGCATGAAATCACCTCATACTGCTCCCGGTCTTCCTCTACCTCAGTGGAATGCTCCTCAACAAGTACCTTCTGCTGCTTACTCTGGAGTTCAGCAAGTTCATCCGTCGTCAACTCCTCCTTATGGTCCTCAACAAGGTCCTCTATGTCTGCACCATCGACATCCAGACCCATACTCTTGTCCATGGACACAATCTCCTCCAATACCTGTGCATCAGACTCTTCAAAGTCATGTTCAGTGACACATTCTGGCCACAGTTTTCTCCAGGCTGAGTTTAAGGTCCGGTACGTGACATCATCCCAGGCTTGTCAATGAGGTTGATGCAGTGGAGGACATTGAAATGTTTCTTCCGGAACTCTTTCAGAGTCAAGGACGTCTCTTCAGTGACATTAAAACACCTGGTGAAGAGCACCTTTGTGTAGTTTCTTGAAGTTGCAGATCACTTGCTGGTCCATGGGCTGCAGAAGAGGTGTTGTGTTAGGGGGGAGGAACGTGACCTTTATGAAGTCATACTCAGCATCCATATCATCCACCAAGGCTGGAGGGTGTGCCGGGGCATTGTCCATCAGAAGGCACCTTTCGCATTGGCCCTCCACATGACAGGCAGTCTGGCCTTGTTCACATTCTGTTCCTTGAATGCACGAGGGGTCTGGGAATGGTACACCAGTTGTGGCTTAATCTTCAGATCGTCGCTTGCGTTCGCAAACAGCAAATGGGTCAATCTATCCTTTATGGGCTTGAGCCCCAGCAGTGCCTTTTCCTCCTGAATGATATACTGTAGGTTCTGTTCGGCATCTTCTTCCAAAAGAGCCCTGTTTCATTGCAGTTGAACACTTGATGAGCGACAAACCCTTCTGCCTTCATGAATTCTGCAAAGTATTTCTAGTAGGTTCCTGCAGAGGCCTTGCCAGAACTGGAAGCCTTGTCTTATCACAATGTGGATGCCACTTCTCTCGCGGAATTTATCAAACCACCCTCTACTGGCTTTAAATTCATCCCTTGTTGCACTTGTAGAGGGGTTTGTTTTTTGTTTGCAGTAAATCACTGTGCAATTTCCTGGCTTTTTCACAGATCATAGCTTCACTAACACAATCACCTCCCAGCTGTTTCTCATTCAAACACACTAACAAAAGTTTTCCACCTCTTCCAGTACTTGTGTCCTCTACTTGGTTAACATAGTTACTCCTTTTGCCACATCAGCTCCTTTGATGACATCTTTATTCTTTAAAATAGTCCAGATTGTCAACCCCATTTTGTACTCCGAGGCCAGATCAGTCACACGAATACCACGCTCATACTTTTCTACAATTTCGTTCTTCAATTCAATGGTTATTTTCTTCAAAACCTTCTTCTTACCATTCTTGCTCAGCACTTTCTTGATACCTTCATTCAGTGGCGGACCTAAGGATCAAAAGGGCCCTGGTGCAAGATTTTTTTTTTGGGCCCCCCCAGTCTTACAATGCCCATACTGGCCAACTGACCACCTGAAAGCCCCCACAATCGCCACCTGAGAGCAGAAAAACAAGCTCAGGACTCCCACTGATTCCCCAATATGTTGACTTTATAATAATCTCATTATATAGTACAGTGTAATAATGATAGAAATAAAGTGCACAATAAATGCGCTTGAAACATCCCCAAACTACCTCTCCCCTCACATCCTGCACCACCTCCGCCCTCTCGCTTCGTGGAAAAAAAAATTCAGCTAAACCGGTCCCGATTCAAAAAAGGTTGTGGACCACTGCTATAAAGGACTACAACTCCCAGCAATACTTTATACGGCAATGGAGAATGGCGTTGGCTATAGAGGACTGCAACTCCCATCAATATTTTATACAGCGTTTGCAAATCTGCGTTGCCGTATAAAGTTCTGCTGGACGTTGTAGTCCTCTATAGCCATTACCATTCTGCATTTCTGTATAAAGTATTGCTGGGAGTTGTAGTCCTCTATAGCTGATGCCATTCTGCACTGCTGCAATGCTGAATGGCACCAGCTATAGAGGGCTACAACTTCCAGCAATGCTTTATACATAAATGCAGAACAATTCCATCAGTTAAAGAGGGTTACAAACAATGTGACTTAAGGCACATAACTCGTTTGACTGTCCTTGCGGTGCGAACACATGCAGCAGGGAGAGGTGGTGGGCTCTGAAATCCAGTGTCTGCTGCTCGTTCCTCCTGGCCGAGGCCCCTGCGCTGCCCCAGAGTGTGCCTGCAGACTGATGTGATTTCTCCTCCCACCAGCTCTCTTCTCACTGCCGGACGCCCGCCACCATCTCTTGCAATTATCCTGGAGCAGCTGGGGCCCCAGCCTCCTCCGCCGCTGCTGGGGCACGGCCTCCTCTGATGCAGCCCGGCACTGCGGGGGCCCGGCCCAGCCGCCTCCACCTCATGTGTCACCTGTAATGCCGATACACATGTAAGGGTCACAGGCCCCCCACATGAGTATCGGTCGTCCCCCCGATGCCCTGCTCCCTAGCCCCTGCTACCTGATTGA